AGAAAGAAAGAAAGAAAGAAAGAAAGAAAGAAAGAAAGAAAGAAATCAGACACACAGTTCTTAACACACAATTTAATTTGGAGTTCATAACAAATCTGACAATTAAGTTGCACTCTCATTCTAGCAGAAGAGTATGAGTGATAATGGTATAGTGTTCCTTCATCCCATTCAGGGCTGGATGGGGAACCTTTTGGTGTCATTTTCTAGGCCCCAGCAGTTTCATGTAAGCCAGGCGGGCCTCTTCACCAGTGGATGCCTGACATTTTGCCTCAAGCTGGAGGGACTGAATTCATTCCTTAACACGCTCATTAACATTGAAAAGGTGTCTCCCATCTTCCAAATCCTGGCCAAATATAATTCTCAAGACCTTATAGTCCTAGACAAAAGACCCATGTGGAGTCCTCTCACTTGGGTCTTTCCCTTTCCCAGAAGCTCTTGTGCTTTTTATTCCTTTCGTATTTGCTTTTGTCTAGTACATTCTATCTTACAACTGATCTGTGGTCTGTGGGTTCATTCTTCAAATCTCTGAGACAAGGACCGACTGCAGAAAGAAATCTGTCAGTAATAAGTAGATTTCCTTACATTTGCAGAGCACGGGCAAACTATGGAAAGTCCTGAGCGCTTTCTGTACTTATCTAGATCCTTTTCTCTCCAGTGTAATGTTTGCGGATAATCTGTTATTCACATCTCTGGCAGGGTTTAAAATAAGGGAGAGATGTTTTCTCCATAACAATTCTAAAATCTCTATTACAAGAGTTAAAAGCAGGGAATAACTGCCAGAAGATGGCCACTAGCATCAAACATCCACCATTGCCTTGAAACTTCCTAAACCTTATTGAGGCTTATCAACTTATTGCTTCACTGGGGGACACGTTAAAAATAGATATCCAGCATATTCCTTTCCATCTATGAGAAGACTAGCACAGGGAATATGATGGGAAATGGGCTTCTCGGAACCTTGTAAATTTGGTCACAGGATAAGAACTTTAGAAGCCTGAGAACAATGACATAAATCTTGAAGAAATAGGAAATACGTCTTCTTTGAAAAAAGCATCACTTTGGAACCAAAGCAACTACCAGTAAATGTTCTTAGTTTTATTGCCCTCATGTGGAATTTGGTCAGTCACATATGCAAATAATAAGGGTAATTATCTAAATGAGTATACAAATATTGGGGTAATAAAGATTATTATGAGAGAATTGTAACAATTGTTTTTGTTGAAAAAAAACACTCTTTCGTATCATGCTATTGATAATGTGTTCCTTCATGTGTTTTAAAGCATTAGGTGTTTTGTACCTGAAAAGTACATTTCATCAACTCTTCTTGATGTAGAAAAAGCTCTTTATTTAAAAAAAATGCTGCAAAAATTAATTGTGTAAATTTATTGGTTATCTTTGGCAAGATAAACCTGTCAGCATACACTGGGCTCCTCTCCTCTGTATGTTTTGATGACTCTGAATAACACGATTGAATCTCTGATTTATAGAAAGAAAAGTACATATTTTTTTGGTTATAAGCTTTTAAGAAATCATAACTATTTTCAAAAAATGCTCATATATATGAAGTTAATTTGACAAACATATCTGAACCTGCCAGTCAGATGAAATAATGTTAACCTTTGTTATCATATTCAACATCATTGGTTTAAAGGAAAGCAATCATTATAAAATTTCTAGGGAAATACTATGATAATTGTTTGTAATGTCTTTTATTTCCAATTTTTAAACTTTAAACCACATACGAACAGATAAATGAGTGATATATAGCATTAGTTTCAATCTTTTAAAACCATATATAAATATTATTAGTTTGCAACTTCTTGCCCTGATTTCCTGGTTTTCAACATTATGTTTTTGAAAGGACACCATGTTTATATAGAGGGATTTCACTTATTTAATTTAACTTCTGTTTAGTACTTTAAACTATTTTATTTATTCATTAACCCTAATAAATATACTTACATCTATTTCTATGAACATTTAAGTTAGCCTTTTGATTATAATTTTTTGTTCTAGGTTTGCTTTTGACCCATGAATAAGAACGAATACTCTGTGGTGATTTTGGTAAGTATTAATTCCCCCACAGAGTCTATAACTTCACAGTAACAGGTAGTTGACTTAACACCAGAAAATTCACTGAAGCCTGACTTTGCCTCCAGCTACTTTGAACTTCATTTGGGCATTCTTATCCCACAGTTCTCTCCTGCTTGGACTTTGGGAACATCTGTATCATGTTAGCTACTTATGCACAAACTTGCTATAGTTGTTACTTTAAATTTATATAGCTACTAATACTTCTTATGTGAAATAATGGATCTTAAGATCCTGAGCCTCAAAAGTAAGGTAGAAATGACCTAACACACTAATTATGCTTAATCATTTGACTCAGTTGATCCCCACTTCATCATTACCCGAGACTAACATCCGAGAGAGGGTTCCATGTTACAGGAAGGAGAGGGAATCCACCCCTCCAGCTCCTTCTAGGACTGATAAGGGCTCTGGGAACTGGGCACCTGGTTGGTGCTGAGGAAGGACAAAGCCTGCTTTGGACTTTGACAATTTGCCAACCTGTTGTCGGAATGGATGTCATTTGTGACCCCTCCCGGGCTGTACCAGGAAGAGGCTACTCCTGGTGCCAGGATCTCTTGGTGTCAGTGCCCTCTGTAGACCCTATGACCCTGAATCCTGGCCCCACCCCTTGAGTAAAGGCTGTGGCTCCTGTCCCAGACCATCGTATAAATGCTCTGCCACTGCCTGGCCTGACAAGCCACCTGAGACCCAGCCAACAGGTAAGTGGGCAGCACAGGAGGAGGCACCTCTAACATGGGCTCTTCCCTTTTATCCTGGGCAAGATACGGGGTGATTCTTTGAAAGTTTCCAGCAATAATGAAACATATGCAGAACCATAACTGATTTGGGGTCACTCTGTCTGCATAATCGTCAAACCACAAGGGAAATATTTTGTGATGTGGGTTTCTCAGGGGGCCTTCCTGCTCTCAGGAGTTCAGAGTGGAGGCTGTAAGGAGGTATTAGGAGTTTTGGCCTTGACTTCTCAGAATGCTCTTCCCTCTGTTCTCCTGCAGAGATTGCTGATTTCTTCCTGGAGCAAGAGATCCCCTGTTGCTCAGCATGGCTCAGACCAGCACATGCTTCATCCTCCTCTCCTGCCTGACATTCCTGTCTCTGAGCCAAGGTGAGATCTTCTCTCCACCACCCCCTGCCTGCAGCCCTGAAGCCTTCCTCATTCCCATGCATATCCTTCTCCTTAAAAAGAGGCAGACTGGATTTCAAGCATTGGGTTGTTATTGCTTGATCTTTCTCCCTGATGTCATCCCATCAAATTCATCCTCACCTCATTAGGGAATTTGAGATGGAATTTTAAATGAACCTTTGTTAGTGGCCACTGGAGAAAGCATTAGTTCATCTGATTAAATCCATCTAGGATGGCCTGTTTGGGGATGTTTTCAGATAGAGAATCACTAATTGGATGGAGAATTGAGAGAATCGTATATGCAAGGAAACCCAGGCAGGCTTGGTTGGGAAAGGTCGAAGACTGTTCCTTAAAGGCAGAGATGCTTCAGCCCCAGAAATGAAGGCGTGTAATTAATGGAGACACGTTTGTTCAGCGTATTCCTTGTGTCATCGTGCCTTGAGCAAAGGAAACAAAGAGAGAGAATAGGTCGGATGCAGAAGAGAAAAGTGATCAGTTGCTCTGTGACCTCCTCTGTCCTGTGTTCCCAGAGGTGAGACTCAGAAGCTCCTACCTCACTGTGGCTGCCCTGACAGTCTCCTTTGTCTCTTGTTTCCCAGGCGAGGAGATCCACACAGAGCTGCCCAAAGCCCGGATCAGCTGCCCGGAAGGCACCAATGCCTATCGCTCCTACTGCTACTTCTTTAATGAAGACAAAGAGACCTGGACTAATGCAGAGGTGAGTGAGGAGGGCGGTGTGGGGAAGAGGGACTGAGGAAGTTGTAGCAGCTGCCACTTTCCAGTGTGCTCAGTGGCTTCAATGAGATAAAACCAGTCACCTCACTAACCCATCAATGTCCCCAGATTTTTAGTCCGTGTTGTGCTGTCACTCACCCCATTCCCATTTCAGATAAGTGAGAGCATCATCTGGAATAGTTGTGCACTGTTTTCTCAGCTACAACCCCCTGGGAGAACCTCGTGTCTCTCTCAAACTTTCCTCCTCCGCTGAATGCTCCATTTTCTTCCCCCCACAGCTCTACTGCCAGAACATGCATTCCGGCAACCTGGTGTCTGTGCTCACCCAGGCAGAGGGTGCCTTCGTGGCTTCCCTGATTAAGGAAAGCAGCACTGGGGACTGCAACGTCTGGACTGGCCTCCATGACCCTAAGAAGGTCAGTCTATTCTACAGTCACTTTTACCTCCTAACCATCAGAGTGATGTGAATAGCCCAGCACTTCAAAAATCAACCTTTAACATTTTTTATTATATAAAGGCCACTTCTTCATAGATCCTGTAATATGTGGGTAGTCACATTCTTTGCAGGTGGTTAGAATTAAGCTGAAGGCTGAATTTTCTTCATGGATAAACTTATTCTGTCAACTTTTATCAATGGACCTTTATGTACCACCTCTTACCTATTTTGTTGCTGTCTGTATTGTGAGAGAGAACTTTGCAGGGTATATAGAAGGGGAAACTGCTGTTAGAGAATCTATAGCTGGCATTTGAAAGCCTGGTATTATCATAAATATTCTATCCACAACTAAGGCATTGCCAGTAGTATGCTGGTTAGTCAGCATTGTGGGCCTCAGGCAAGACAAATCAGGAATCATTTTCTGTATGGACTTTCGTGGTTCTCAGAATCAAATTCAGAGTATATTGATGGAATAGGGTGAAGAGTTTTGTAGATTATGAAACAAGAAAAGCTTACAGTAAAATCAGAGGAAATTATATGATACTCAGGATGATCAGATTTATTCTTGCCCCATACTTTTACATTTTCTTGAGTATGCAAACATGACAGGTGTTTCTTCCTTTTCGAGTAACTGCTGCCCCTGTTCTGGCCCTCCCTCATCTAGAACCGCCGCTGGCACTGGAGCAGCGGGTCCCTGGTCTCCTACAAGTCCTGGGACACTGGAGCCCCAAGTAGTTCCAATCCTGGCTACTGTGCCAGCCTGACTTCAAGATCAGGTGAGACGCAGAAAACTAACCCAGTTTTTACTATTCTCTCCTACTTAGCTCTAGGGGTCTATCTAGGGCTGGGAATAGAGGGAACGTGAGCTCCCGATCCAGGGAATGGAAGGATATCTCCTCCTGTCTCTTATCCTGAGTCCTCGACCCAGGAGAGGGCACATTCCTTCTGGTCCTCTCAGTCTCACTCTTCTCCTTGGCTCATAGGATACAAGAAGTGGAAGGATGAGAATTGTGAGTCAACATTCTCCTTTGTCTGCAAATTCAAAAACTAGAGGCAGCTGGGAAATAAATATCTACAACTGGTCCTGCAATTATTACAGATTCAAAAATCAAACCGGAGCATTTCTCCATCTCAATCCGGACCTTCACTTTCCTCCTGAGTTGTATCACTGGCCATTAGTATCACTCCAGTCTTTGGTGCCCTAAACAAAGCAAATAAAAATTTTTTCCAATATTTTGCTGTCTTCTGTACCTATTTCCACATCCAAAGCACAGTTGTTTAGAATGGAAGTGATTGTAATACTCTAGAGCAGTGTTTTTCAACCTTTTTTTTTATCTCATGGCATACTTGAACCTATAATTAAACTTCAGCACACTTAAATTATGTTGATAACAAAAGAGAGAAAGACACTTATAGTGCTTTGAACTTCCTTCAAAAATAATTTAATGAATTATCTGTAAAATTTTCATGGCACCTCTAAGATCGTCTCATAGCACAGGAGCTCTAGGCCTTGCCTTTGTCTTTATACTCTTCTTAAACTCCATCCACATGTCACAGATGTTGGACTTCTGAACATATCATGGCCTTCCTATGACAAAGTAAAGAAGATAAATATTTTACCCACACTGTACATGTTAACATGGACCCAGTGTGAGTTATAGAAGTAATTATATTGTTGATCCACAGATGGCTGGACTATTTGATTCTCTAGGTCAGTGGTTCTCAAGCTTCCTAATGCCACGGCCCTTTAATACAGTTCCTGTGCATTGCAGGGTTGAGAACCCCTGCTCTAGAGGTATTCACATGCTTGTGGTCTGAAGAGGCCACATCTGTTCTCAGTTAGCAAGTTAAAGCCATGACTGGATTGACAATTTAAGGAGAATTCTCAAGTCTGGGGTGCTGAATGCATTGGTGGTGGAAGACAAGGGTCTTAGAGGCCAGAAATTTAAATGAGAATTCTGTTAAATGAGAATCATTAGACGTACAAATAAATAAAATATAAATTAGGTAAACAAAATGAACAGATATACTTAATTACCACTTTAAAGAGCCTATCATCAAATACAGTCACACTCTGAAGTACTGAATGTTAGAATTTTTTACAGATCAATTTTGCGGGGACACACTTTAGCCCATGCACTAGCAGTATCAATAATAGCATTAAAGGCACTATAATAAACCAACACAGTGAAACCTACATATTGTCAGTCTATATTAAAACAATAAGATCTGACAATATGTTATTAGTATCTATAGAATATATGACTTATACAGGCTTCCACATGTCTCTTATAACATTAAACACTACAAGGTAAAACAAAATATGATTCTAGAGAAAAAGAAGAGCATATTATAATGATAAAATGGCTAAAAGCATTATGATGATTATGCACATACTTGTACACATAACCAAACAGGCCTGAAATAAATAAAGCCAAAATTAATAGGGAGAAATAGATTTGAAATTACAGACCTCAACACACCACTTTAAATAATGCTTAAAACACCTGGATGTTCAGCAGGGAAGTGGAACTCCTGAAAATGTTCTAAATCAACTGAACAGACATCTACAGAAAGCTTCATTTAATTCCAGAAAAACATACATTCTTCTCAACCACACAAACACATGCTCTGGGAGAAAACACATATTTTCAATGAACAGTTTAAAATGAAGGAAAACAACTTCATGGCAATAACATCAAAAAGTATAAAATTTTTAGAAATTTATTTTAAAAAACAAGCAAATACTTGTACATTAGAAAGCACAAAACTTTGTTAAATAAAATTAGAGAAGACCTAAATAAAAGGAAAGATACCACATGTTCATGGACAGAGATCTGAAATTTAAAGTGGAATTACTCCTCCCAAATGATCTACAGATTTATCACAATCCCCATCAGAGTCCCAACTGTTCTTTATTCCTCTTGCCAAAATTGACAAATTAATGTTATTTATATTAGTAGCCTTATAGAAATTCAAATTTGCCAAAAAAATTTCACTAAGATTAGGCAAAATAATCCTTTTTTATTCATTTAATTTTTATTGATTATATTTTAGGGTATATGTGATATATATATATATATTTAAAATATATACCCTATATATTTTAGGGTATATGTGATATTTTCTTATATGTATAGAATACGTAGTTATCAAGTCCAAGGTATTTTGGGCATTTATCACCTTGAGTATTTTGTATGTGCTGAGAACATTTCAGTTCCTCTATTCTAACTTCTTCGAAGTATACCACACATTGTTACTAACTATAGTGAACCTGCTCTGCTATAGAACATTAGAAATGTTCTCTTTTATCTAAGTGCATGTTTGTACCCATTGGCCAACCTCTTTACATCCTCCCCTATGCACTCATCCCAGCCTTTGGCATCTAACATTCTATTTTCTACCTCCATGAATCAACTGTTTCAGTTCCCACATGAGTGAAAACATGGGATAATTTTCTTTTTGTGTCTGTCGCATTTCCCACAGACATTACGACTCCCAGTTCCATCCGTGTGGCTACACATCATGTGAATTTATTCTTTTTGATGGCCTAAGAGTATTGCATTGTGATTATGTGCCACATTTTCTTTATCGATTCGTCCACTGAGGGTCACTTGGACTGATTCCGTGTCTTTACTGTTGTGAGGAATGCTGCAATAAACATGCAAGTGCAGGCATCCTGTGAAGTATTATATCTTTTCTTTATTTTTCTCTGTGTTTTCTCTGCCAGTGGTTTTTATATTTTTGTGTTTTTCTGATGGTAAATAGTGTTCTTTTGCCTTTGAGTATGGGACATCCTTAAAGATTCCTTGTAAGGCCAGCCTAGTAGTGGTTATGAATTCCTTCAGCTTTTGCTTATCATGAGAAGATATTACCTCTCCTTCACTTATAAAAAAAATAAATTTGCTTGGCATACTAACCCCATAGGTCACAGATTTATTTTTCTTTTACAACTGTGAATATATCATCCTATTCTCTCCTTGCCTATAAAGTTTCCACTGAGAAATCTGCTGTTAATCTGATAAGAATCCTGTTATATGTGAATGAATTCTTCTCTCTTGGCTCTTTTAAAATCTCTTTTAGTCTTGACTTTTTCTCTTTTTCTGTTAAAGCAGTTAGCTTTAATGTCCTTGGCTTTGACTGGTCGACTATGATGTGCCATGGAGAATTTTTTGAAATGTATGTGTTTGGGGAGTGCTGAGCCTTCTGTATCTGGATGTATAAATCTCATCACAGACCTGGGAAGTTTTCATATATTATTTCATTAAATAGGTTTTATAACTCTTTTGTTTTCTCTTTACCTTCTGGGACACAAAACATTCAAGAAGTTGGTTGCTTTTTTTGTCCCATGTGTCACATAGGTTCGCTCATTTTATTCTTTTTTCTTTATGTTTGTCTGACTGGATCATTTCAGAAAATATGTCTTCAACTTCTAATATTCTTTCTTATGTTTGATTTAGTATATTATTGAACATATTTTGTATTTCATTCAATAAATTCTATAATTTCAGAATTTCTGTTTGGCCCTTTTTATGGTAACTATTTTGATAAGTTTCTAAATCATATCCTGAATTTATTCTTATTGTTTTTCACTGTTCTTTGGTACACCATTATCCTCCTTCAAAATTATATAAATTTCTTTTTCATTGAATTCTGTTGCTGGAGAATTATTTGCTTTATGGGTGTCATAGTCCCTTGAATTTTATTTTTCTTGTCTCCTTATTTTGATATCAGTGCATCTGATGTAATAGTCATGTCTTCCAAGATTTTGGATTTTATATTATAGGAGATGAAATTTTCACAAAGATATCCTGGTTGAGTGGGAAACTTCAGCTTTAATTTGGGGTGTATGTGTGGAATATCATAATTTCTGTATGATTTCTTTGACTAGAAACAATAGCAGTGGTATCTGTGATTTCTTTGATAGCTTAGAATGAAGTTATTAGTGGAGGCTGTGGTGAAGTTTTTCTGGAAACTGGGCAGGAGGTCTGGTCTTTGGACCTTAGTGCTGGCAGGGGTGGGTTTTCTCATCTGTCTGTCCTTGGCCTCAGGATAGGGTACAAAGGCACCAGTGTTAATGAGTGCAGGCAGGCTACTTCTTGAGCCTCCAGGTAACTGCAGTTGCAGTGATGGGACAACCCTCTAGGACACAAGTAGGTTTGCACTGGTGTTGGCAGTGGCTGCAGTGGTCTGAGCAGCTCAGTTCCCAGGCCTGCAGATGGTATGTGCAGGTGGGTGCCAGCTGTGGCAATCCTGACAGGTTGAGTGGGTCTGACTTTAGATCGCTGAAGAAGTGCTCAGGGACCAGTAGTAATGGACTGGACTGGACTATTCCCAGGACCCTTAGTGAGTTTGGGTACTGGGGAAGTGAAACCAGACTAGGTAGACCTATACTACATCCCCTTACCCCAGTGCAGTGCTGTCTGCAAGTCCTGGCTGAAGTAGGCAGGGGTGGGGTAATCCCAAGGCCACCCACAGAATGCTCAGGTGGATGCAGCAATAGTGGTTGCACAGCCCTATTACTGGGGAGAGTGGATTTGCTTTCGGTGGGAGTAGGCAGAAGGCTCGGGGGCATGCTCCTTACTTGTGCTTAAGCTGCACAACAACCTGCACAAGTTGCTACAGGCAGTGGAATTGGTTCTTAAAGTATGTGAAAATATGTGACTGCTCCTCTACTGGGGGAGAGGTCATCATTTCCAATGGAACCTACTTCAGTCCCAGTGGTGCTAGCTGTATACAGCAATGTGAAAGGTGCTCCAGGGACATGGAGATGCAGGGACAGTTGAGACCTAGGGCAGGATGCAGTCTGCTGGGAGCTAGAGTTTGAAAATTGCACCAAGTTGCAGCTGTTCAGGACCCAGGGGTTTGTGGGACTCACATGAACTCCTACTTTGTAGCAATTCCATTGCATGGTCTTTAGGAAACCCCTTCTTAACTTCGGGGTCTGCACAAGTAGAAGGAGTCTCCAGGGATTACAACTACACAGCTGTATATAGTGGAAATGTAAACCACTGGTGGTCTCTCAATTACTCTTTCTTTGCACTAGGGACCTCTCCAGGCTTCCAGCTGATCCTGGACCAGCGGACTGCCTCA